AATTCAAAGAAATATAAAAATATTTATTATATTATAATTTCATATAATATACTATACTCCAATAATCTTTTGTAACATTGTTTCTTCAATATCATATTCAATAATTAGAAACAGATAGTTTACAATGTATATAATTAAATACTAGTAGGATTATTAATATTGCCTTTTTTTCCAAGTTGTAAAAGCAGAAACAATACTAATAAATTTAATATATTATTCACATTACAATATTATTTGAAGTAAAGCATTACTTTGGAATCTAATAGATCATATTTTTTTAGTAAATAAATATAATTAGTATATCTTAGAAATTATGTACAGTCAGTTATAACTCTTATTAAACTAAATTTGTTACTAGAAAAATTAGTATTAATATTGATTTTTATTTTGTATAATTCAAAATATACAATTAACCAAAAAATATATAAAATAAAAACTATATATAGATAAAAAAATATATATATATATATATGATTATTAAACTGTAAATATAGTATATTTCTAATTAGAATAGCAAATGAAAAATTTTTTACAATACAAGAAAATTTTGATTATAGATTAAAGCAAATTAAGTTTGTTTAAATAAATATAATTATAAATATATATGAGCCATATACAGTATAATTATAAATTATAGTAAATTATTATAAAATATATTTACTCTTATATATTTACCTAATATAAATTATATTATAAGTATAATTGTATAGGATAAATACTATATAATCATACCTTTTTATAATTACTATTTTTATCTAAACAAACAATATGATTATAGAGGAGGAAAACAATATATAATTCTGTATACAAAACTAATAAAATTCTGTTAGCAATATAAACTACCTTAATAACAAAAAAAAATAAAATTATAAAGTAGATTTTTGTAATTCTAATAGTAGTAAAATTATTAAAATTAATTTAATATTTAACAAAAGGAAAGAACTAAATAGTACACTATACATTTTGTACACCTTCTATGATAACTCAATTTTACTAGGGTAACCCTGTTATGCAACTAAGCAAAAATATTCCTATATAATTTTACTAATTTTACTCGTAGCCTAATCTTAATACTATTTTTAAACTTTTATAATATCTCAAAATTTTACTAAGGTAACTCCTGTTATATAATTAATAAAAAATATTCTACTCACAACTTTACTATATATTAACCCTAATCCTAATTTTAACTTAGACTAACCTAATTTTTATTATATAATTAATTTTATTTTATTTTTTTTTTTTTGTTATTAAGGTGACTTATATTGCTGAAGGAATTTTATTAGAATTGCATACAGAATATACATTGATAGTCTCTACTGTTTGTAATTATATAAAGAGTATACAATAAGCTATATGTATAACTTTAGTTATTGTCTAATTTAAGTAGTTCACTGCACAGGTGATTAGACTACCTGATTGGTTCTACACTATGCTGCCATATTTGTAACCTACCTGTGAGTTACCTATTTAAACACTCTGTTCATTAACTTATACAAATCCAACCTAATGTCACCCAACTCCTAACCACTTAAGCTAGCTAGCTCATTATAGATCAATTTATCTAGAATAGCTTAGATCCTTTCGAGATATATTATATCTAACATATTGTAGGTATTGCAGAGCTAGTTAACTTTGAAGTATACCTATTAAAGTAGTCTGTACCTATTTTATAGATTTATCTAGCTTAGATCCTTGTAGATATTCATACAACCCTAATTCCTACCATAGCTCTCCACTAGTTTTCTATATTCTATAATCTCAAATATTTCATGAAGCAGATCCTCTCAATTCAGTTAACTACTAAGTCAAGTTGATGTTACTGATCCTCTCTATAGAATGAATTTATGTACATCTAACTCGATCTGCATCTTTTGACAATAGTTTCCTTTCTCAATTAAGCATTAGTCAGTGTAACTGTTGAAAGCTATACTACTTCACCAACTTGGGATTTTTACTATGCAGATCTCCTGTCTATAGATCTTATCAAAATTTATTTGTATAATATTATGTCTCACTAAATGTCTTATCACACTTCTAATATCTAGATAATATTAGTACAACATAATTTACAGGGTTACAACTTCAGAAACAGACAGAGTTTACTGTAAGTTAAGTACAAAAGTCTGAGTAATTATTCAAATTCATCGATAGTGAGATTTGAACCTCAGACCTCTTGTATGACAGTTTGGCAATCTAACCACTACACTAAGATCACTAGACCTATAATTAATTTTATATAGAAACACAAAATGTATATACACTGTTTAAATTTTTCTTTAACAAAAAATATATTTTTTAAGATTAAATATTAAAAATTTACTATAAAAAATAATAAATTTAGTTAATTAAATTTGATTATTTATATAACTTTAGAAAATTTAGATACTTTCTAAAAACTTTATAACATATACAAGTAGATTTTTTTTAAACTATACAAAGTTTAAAATTTTATTAAAATAAATAAAAAATTTTAATCTACTATATATATAATAAAATTTTAATAAATTTTGATTATTTTTTAAAAATTTTTATTATATAAGCTTGTGTTTATTTTTTGTCAAAAATAGAATAGCATATAGATTATAGTAAAAATAATTCATATTCTTTCTACTCTTAAATTTTTAAAAAAATACTATTAAATAATAATTATTTATATACAAAATTATAAAAAAGTATTTTATTATTTTATTTTTAAAAAAATATGCTTGTTACTAGTGGTGATAGTTTTGTATATAATGTAAAATCAAAACAATTATAATAACATAGACATATTCCTATTATTAACTTTAGGGTTAGGGCTTAGTTAGGATTAGAGTTAGCGAAGACATAGTTTTAGTAAAATTTTACAAGGCTTCGTTTTTACGTTACACGATCAGGTATAACGTTACATTTGATCTTGCATCCTCATTGGTACAATTGGTCGTCAGTTACAAATAGATTTACTCTTTATTTTTATTTTATACTTTTGTTATTATAAACAATTCAGTGTTGGCTTGACCAGACCGGTTTGACCATTCGACCAGACCAATTTGATCGGTCCAGTCAAAGAATTTGTACTGGTCAAATTAGTCAATAAAATATATATTATTTAAAATAGACTTGACCAATTTGACCAGTTTGACCAATTCGACCGATTCGACCAGACCAATTTGACCAACAAAAACAAAACAATATAATACATCTATCTCTCTATTCTAAACACTATCGCTATTAAAAAATTATAATTAGCCTAATTCAGAAATCTGTGATAACAAGCTTATATAGAACTAACAACTCTAAAACTAGATATTTATTTGGGTTTATAAAAAACAGATACATAACTTATATAACTAGAAATAAAAAAAAATTTTATTTTTTGAGACATACACAAGTAAAACGTGTAGTAAATGTGAGTGGATCTATAGAAAACTAGGAGGTAGAAAAGTGTTTAAATATGGAAGGTGTGGTCTCTGTATCAATAGAGACATAAATGGTGCCCGTGGGATTTTCCTACAGGCTTCGTTGGATGAAGCCTTAATTATCTAGCATAGTTACCCCCTCTAGATGACTATTGTTGACTATAGATAACCGATTCAATCCAGACTTTATCCATATAACTCAATTTCCAACCAATCAAAACGCATAAAATTTTGACATTTTATAAATTTTTAATTCACACATTAACTACCCCAAGGACATCCCGAACTCAAAATTTAAATTATGAAAGAAACCTTCACTTTTGAAGACATTGATTGTGCGGGATAGTCACCGTATATTTGTCGATTAAAATAAACCACGTGCATTATAAAATGCCTAACGCTTAATAATTATGACTAATATTAAGAATTGGTCCATCTCTATTAATTATTAATTATATCAGAATTATTAATTATATCAGATTAAATTTGCAAAGCAGTGACGCTAAATAATAAATTGTCGTTAACTGTTTTATAAAAGTAATGAATTAAAATCTCGATATAGTTTGGCTTAAAATCAATCAAATTATATAAATTCTCACGATATCGATATTTGATATTTAATTATGGATATTAATTATGCTATTCTGACGTTATTTTTTAGAGAAATAGCAAATAATCGATTTACCCGATTTTTTAACATAACGATACGGAGTTCATATGATATACTGGTAAATCTGTCAAAAAAAAAAAAAAAAAAAAAACCTTCATCTAAGTTATTTATAGATTTATATGAACAATGATTTTTTTATTCGTAATACAATAATATCGATATTATATATAATAATTACGATTCGTTTCATCATCGTATTGGGTGCCAAGAAAAACCTTAATTAGGTGTTCAACAAACATACTATGGTACTATTAGAACAAAAAAAAAAACTATTGTTTGTTAAAAGCTCGATATAAAAGATATTTACTCAGTTAAAGTCTTTGAATAAGTTTATTTAATAGTTAATGCAAAGTTTATATGGTTCCTTGTCGTTATTATTGTTACTCGAAAAATGCGAAATTTTGAGTAACTGGCGGTCTCGACTTGCTTTCACGTGAACTTATACAAAGATTGTAAACAATGCACCTTATTAAAACCCTCACCGAATTATAAAATTAATAGTGGTCAAAGAATACATAAAGCCACCCGACTGTCCAACTTAAGCTGTTAATTTGAATAAATGAACTTTACTATAAACTAATAAATCTAAACATATGACTGGCTTACAAATGTTCTTTTTTGGTTCTCTTGCATATGTATACTTATTATACTAGCATGTAAGGTCTTTTAGAACTTTACATTAAAAGTTTGAAGAACAAACCCGTCAAATCTTTCAAAGGCCTTATTCGTTGTCCTGCTGTTTTTTTTTTTGTTCTATTTGTGCTCTTATATATCTGTATATTTAAATATCTTTTCTCCACTTCTCTTAGTTTTATCTTCCTTCGAATTCTTTTTTTCCCACATCTTTTGAAGTCTTATAATCGCAAAAAATATTTGAAAAAAATAAAAAACTAGTATACGTGTTACTAAATAAAAGAATTTCAAAATAGATGCCTAAAGGAAAAATTAATTTACAAACTCCAAATGATTGTCAGGAAAAGCAAACACTATCTATAACACAACGTCCTCTTCCTCCTGAAGTTCCTTGGGTATCAACTACAAATTTTCATAGTCTTCCAACTCCTGCTCCTTCACCACAACTATTTCCACCTGTTTCATCTGAGGGATATCCCCCTCCTCCACCTGACGATGAGTTTCGTCGTACTGTAAGAATGGGTTTTCAAAATATGGACAATTTACAAAGGCAAAAACTTCTTGCTGAACTTTTAAATTCTTGTAATACTGAACAACTAGTTTTCGTGTCCAATTTTATATCACCACGTTTGAAACGTGACTTTCTGAAAGACCTTCCAATTGAACTTAGTCTTCATATATTATCTTTTATTAATGATCCAAAAACTCTTTCTAGAGCTTCAAGTGTTTCTAAATTTTGGCGTTCTTTATTAAATGATGAGTTCACTTGGAAAAATCTTTGCGTACGTCATCATTTTCGAAGACGTAGTTCAACTGTTCCTGTATTACCACCTTCTCCTACTTTTGAATCACCTACTCTTAAATGTAATAGTAAATTTTCATATAAAGATCATTTTCGAAGGAGATATATTGTTGAATCAAACTGGAAACATGGTGGAAGAACACTTGTTACTCATATTAGCCCTGATTCGGGTGTAGTTACATCTTTACAAATGTGTCAAAATTATATAGTAGTAGGGATGGATAATAAAAAAATTCATATATTTGATGTATCTGATGGAAATTATATAAAAACATTGACAGGACACGAAGGTGGCGTATGGGCGTTGCAATATATTGACGAAGTTTTAGTCTCTGGAGGCTGTGATAGGTAAAAATGTGACCTTTTTTTTTTTTTTTTTATTAAAAGGAAAAAAAAAAATTTTTTATCTTGTCTTAATACTTATATATATATATATCCATTATTAATATATATATATATACATCTTTTTTTTTTTTTTAGAGAAGTTCGGGTTTGGGATATTATCACAGCTGAATGCAAATATGTTTTACATGGTCACACATCAACGGTACGTTCACTAAAAATGAAGGATAAAACCATTGCTGTTAGTGGATCTCGAGATGCAACACTTCGTGTTTGGAATATCGAAGAAGGTAGATTAATTCACTTGTTGGCTGGACACCAAGCAAGTGTACGATGTATGGAAATTTGTGGTGATGTTGTAGTATCTGGGAGTTATGATTGCACTGCCCGAGTAAGTAACAATTTAATAAATATTCTATTTTAAATATCAATTTCATTAATAAAAATTATAAATTTTAGGTTTGGGATATAGTAACTGGTGAATGTTTACATGTTCTTCAAGGACATTACTCACAAATTTATTCGATCGCATTTGATGGTGATAAAATTGTTACTGGGTAAGTTATACAATTATTATTATAAGTACAAGCATTTGACTTTCTATTAATATAGTTATTTCTTAAAGATCTCTTGATTCTACCGCACGAGTTTGGTCTCGTCAAACCGGATTTTGTCTGGGTGTGTTACAAGGACATACATCACTTGTTGGTCAATTACAACTTCATGATTCGATACTTGTTACTGGCGGAAGTGATGGTGCTATTCGTATTTGGGATCTTGAGACAAATCGATGCGTTCAAAATATTGCTGCACATGACAATTCGGTTACATGTCTGCAATTTGATGAAAAACGAATCGTATCAGGTGGTAATGATGGTCATATAAAATTGTGGGATGTCGAAACTGGTGAATTTATTCGTGAAATAACAACTTCTGGAAACGCTGTTTGGAGATTGGCATTTCAAGAAACAAAAGCAGTTGTATTGCTACAACGGGAAGGAAAAACTGTTATGGAAGTTTTGGATTTTGATGCACAGGAAAATCAAAATTAGGATTTTTTTTTTAAAATTAGGATATAGTCGATTAAAAAAGACAATTCAAACCCCCTTTTTTTTCATTGTCTATTTTGACAGATTACTAACATGATTCATTGTAATGGCCAATTCTCATTATTAATATAGATTTACTTTATTTCACATTTAATGGCTTATTAGAATATTTATACTCTTAATTTATAAATTGAAGAGAACATTTTAATAATCTAAAACATCTGCATTAAGAATACAATTTTTTGCATTATTTCAAAAATAAAAAAAATAAAAAAAAAACAACCAACTTGATAATTAAACCTAAATGATGAATATATTATAGTCGTACAGTATATGGGGGTTTTTTTTTTTTAATATGGTCTTTGTTTTTTTTAAAAAGTTTTTTGTGATAAGATGGAATTATATTGGTAGTGATGCAAACGACTTGAGCGAGCCGATACTAAAATAAAATTTAAAATTATTAGAACTGCCCACTGTACGTATTGACGGCAGCCCTCTAAACCTAATATTGTAATTCGACTTGTGATTAATTTGTGATTGTTGACATCTCTAACCTAACATTAGGCGATCTTTTGATATTATCGCGCATATTTTGGGAAATATTTCAAAAAAGCGATTCTAATTGCTCGACGCTTGTGTGTATACCTTCTACGAAACTGTTGATTTTTAATCATCGTTTGTAAAATAAACTAATAAATCCAAACTTACATCGTAAAGTTTCAGATGGGAGTCAACTGTTTAATAGGTTTACGAGCCTCATTTTACTACCAATTAATATCTGAATTTATAAAACAGTTTGAGTAGAAAACTTTTTTACGATTTGTCACACTATTTTTAATAGTAAAATTATTATTGTATTATATTAAAAACATATCGATATAAACTTTGAAGCTTTGATTATTTTTAACTTACATATTAACAAAAAATTAAACTTTGTATAACTTTTTAAAATTTTATAAAAATCATAGCTTATATATATATATATATATATATATTTTAACTTGAGTGATCTTATCTTTCATTTTATTGAGAATGTTGTATACTATGACAACTAGAAATATAATATTACAAAAAGTCTTAAATTAATATAATAAAAATATCTTTTCTATTGCAATTCTGGATTCACTTAGCTGTTAATATAAACCCAAATAGGTTTAGTAGATGCCTAAATATGATCTGTTACAGAAGTTAGTTTTCTTCTTCTTAGTAATTTCTTTATAGATAATATTATCTTTGGATCAAAAGAAGGTAATTTCAAGTTCATATCAAGATCCTAAATCCTTCTTAATCTAACTAAAGTTAAGCTAATAGTAGTTAACATCTAGTCTCAAGATAAAAAAAATAATAATTGTTACTAAACTAAAAGCATAAATGCTTACTAACAAAGAAAAACTTATTCTAAGTTGTAAAAATTTTGTTAAGTAGTGATGTAAAAAGGACAAAATATAAGAAAAAATAAATTAGTAACTAAGTATTCTATAATCTGAGTTAGGCTTAAAAATTTTAAGTTGTATAACTTATAGCCTATCTCAAATAATTTCTTTTCTAACATATAATCTATTCCTAGTACCTGTATTTTGACAGTTTTGTATCATCTTTTTCTAAAATCTATAGTACTAAAGTTATATTGAAAACTACTAGTAAACAAAATATGTAACTTGTTTACTGTATGAGATTGCATATCTACAGAGGTTTTCTAAAAATAGAAGATATAAACAATACTAATCTTTTGTAGAGAAGAATTTAGATTTTCTACTTTTATCAAAAAAAATAGAAGATTAAAGAGAAAAAGTTTACAATATATTATTGTTTTCTAAGGTTCAAAAGAATGTATAAACAAAATAATTGATTGTTCTCTATCTTAAAATTTCTTTTATCAACTTCATTAACAAAGAGCTCTTTTGTATCTCTTTACTAAAATTTTTATACAAGAGTTCTATCTGCTAGTTATCTTGTATAATATTACTTTTAGCTTACATGTTAAATATACAAAAGAGTTTCTGAAAGCAAGTAGTTGACTTCTATAAAAACTGTAATATTGTAAAAAAAACTTTTTCATATTCTCTAATAAATTTTTGTTTTTTACTTTTTTAAATTTTTTGAGAAAAGAGATTATCAGAAAGAATTGTTATAAATTCTCTGATAATTTGAATGTATATTTTTATATAACTTTATTAAAAAGAAATATTTATTAATTTTAAAATTTTATTTTAAACAAGAAGACTATTTTAATAAAAAAATAAGTTTATTATATATATTAAAGTTAAAATTTTTAGTTTGTTTAAATAAAACTTTTTATTTTACTAAGATAATCTATTTTAATCTATTTTTGTTTTTTTTTTTTTTTTTTTTTTTTTTTTTTACCTATACAAATGCCATCGGCCAAAACTTTATTGGTTATTTGATAGTAGGTAATGATATATATTGTGAGAATACAACTAGTCACACGTACAACTTTAGATTGTCTATTTAAGTAGTCTGCTCGAAGGTTCTATACTAGTTGTGATACCTAAAATCTATTTGAAGATTCCCTATTTAAACCCTCTGGTCCTATAACTTATCTGTTTCTATCTATTTATACCAAGCTAGCCTAACCCCGTGCTACTTCTCCAGGAAGATACCTGAGCTAGCATATGTCTACAAACTTTATGATTCGAAGCCTAGGCCCATCTCAGGAACCCTTTTACCAACTTCCAAATCAATGAGTGCTGTGGTACTCAACTATACTACGCTATATCCTAATCTAGCTTGCATATACTCTTGTTCGATGTTTATATAAACCTGGTTCTTACTATGGTCTTCTACCAAGTTAGTCATCTGTGCCTCCAAATATTACACAAAGTAGATCCTCCCAAATCTGTTGTTTGGTATTGCCTGCTTTGCCATTGGATATCATACAAGACAAATCCTCCCAAATTCAGTTAGCTGCTAAGCCAAGTTGGTGTTACCATATGACCTCATGTAATGGACTTACTCGTACCTGTTTTGTTGATCCTTCTATACTCAGGACTTATTCGTATCTATTTTACCGATCTTTTCATACGCAGATTTCCTTTCTCAGATTAGACATTAACTGGTATGACTATTGAAATCCGTACTACTTTACCTAACTCAAGATTTCTATAATGCAGGTCCCCTACCCATAAATTCTATCAAGATTTATTCGTATAATGTTATGCCTCACCGAACACCTTGTCACACTTCTAATACCTAATTGGCATTAGTGCAATATGATTTACAGGGTTACAACCTCAGAAACGAGCAGAGTTTATCGTAAGTTGGATACAGATATCTAGGTAATTATTCAATTCTGTATACAGTAGGATTTGAACCCTAGACCTCTTACATGGTGATCCGGCAATCTAACCACTACACTAAGATCGCCAGACCTTTAAAATTATGTAATTTACTTATACTATAATACAGAAATACAGAAAAGTTATTTTTATTATTCATAAAAATTGCTTTTAATAATTGCAAATATTTGAATAAATTTTTTAATTATTTTTTAGCTAATATCGATATATATAAAATTTCATAGAAAGTTTGGTGATCTTAGTATAATAGTTAGATTATCAATTGCTATACAAAAGGTTTGGAGTTCAAATTCCACTATCGATGAATTTGAATAATTAATCAGACCTTTGTACCTAACTTACAGTAAACCCTGTCTGTTTGTAAAGTTGTAACTCTATGAATTACATTGCACCAATATTATCTGGATATTGGAAGTATAACAGAGCATTTGGTAAGATGTAATATTACATGAATAAATCTTAATAGGATCTATGAGCAGAGAATCTGCATAGTAGAAATTCTGAGTTGGTGAAGTAGTATAGCTTTCAATAGTCATACCAGCTAATACTTGATCCAAAAAGCAAACTATTATCAAAAGATACAGATCGAGTTGAGTACATATAAATCTGTTTTACAGAGAGAATTAGTAATACTAACTTAGCTTAGTGGCTAACTAAATTAAGAGGATCTGCTTTATGAAATATCTGAGAAGATAGAATACAAAAAACTAGTAGAGAGCTATAATAGGAACTAGAGTTGTATGAACATCTACAAGGGTTTAAGCTAGGTAAATTCATAAAATAAGTATGAATTATTTCATATAACCAAAATTAAATTATTTTATTAGACAATTGTTAGCAAATTCTTGCTATCTAAAAAGGGTCTGTGAAAAATTTTAGATATTAAGCAGTTATAAGATAATAGTTTAGATATGTATATCTAGTTGATCTTTAGATCAAGAGTTTAAATCTAGCTTAGGATATAGCAATCCTAACTGATAAGTATAGGTAGTACTACTTAAGTTACAATATTTTCTATCTTTTTATTCTTTTATTTTATTTGATATTACTATTTATTTGATTAATAGTAATTTTATTTTAATACCCTTGAAATATTTTAAGTATCTTCTTAGGTCTGGTGATCTTAGTGTAGTAGTTAGGTTGCTGGACCACTATGCAAGAAGTTTAAGGTTCAAATCCTACTATATATAAAATTGAATAAATACCTAGACATCTGTATCTAACTTACAGTAAACTCTGCTTGTTTCTGGAGTTGTAACCTTGTAAATCACATTACACTAATACCAATCAGGGTATTAGAAGTATGACAGGGCATTTGGCGAGACATAATATTACATGAATAAATCTTGATAGGATCTATAGGCAGAGGATCTGCATGGTAAAAATCCTGAGTTAGGTAAAGTAGTACGAATTTTGATGGTCATACCAGTTAACGTCTGATCTAGAAAGAAAATCTGCATATGAAAAGATCAGTAAAATAGATATGAGTAAGTCTTGAGTGCAGAAGGATCGATAAAACAGGTACGAGTAAGTCTATTACATGAAGTCATATGGCAACACCAACTTGGCTTGGCAGCTAACTAGATTTGGAAGGATCTGTCTCATATGATATCTGGTGGCAAAGCAGGCAACACTAAGCAACAGATTTAGAAGGATCTACTTCGTAAGATATCTGGAAGCACAGAT